AATGGGTGCAGATGTCAAACACACCATTGAATAATTAGACTGAAAGATACTGTACTAATTTGGGCTACCAAGTTATATTTTCCCAGACCATGGAAAATACTTTACTCCACAGTGTGCAACATCATCATGTTAAGTGGGCATTCCATGTTGCATACTGCTCTCAAAGTAATAGTTTGGTAGAGAATTGCAAGGGACAATTAAAACGTTTGTTATGTAACATGTGGGGAGATAAAAGCATGAAAACCTGGCTCACACTCCTTCGTGAATGCATGCTCACACTCAAAATATGAAGAAAAAGGAAGGATAACCCGAGATAGATTCCTTTGTTTCTCAAGGGAATCTAAGTAAGTGGGGTCGTGGGGAATGTTAATGCTACTATATAGTTCTTCCCTGCATCATATGATATTGATATTTTCCTGCTGGATGCTACAGTCACAGGACCAAGAATGCAGCTCTGAGTACCAGAGGTAGGAGTGGTCCCTCATCAGACCATAACACCTAAATCTGTATGCCAGAATTCCCAAGAACCTATTTATAATTGTACGTTCTCTCATCTGGCAAAATTGGAATTAACAGTGAATAGTATCATATTCCTTAATGGTTGATATAACCAAATAGTCTTGAATGGAAGAAAGATTGAAGTTCTCAAGGACTTCATTCTTCTTAGATCAACTATCAACACTCATTGAAGCAACAGTCAAGAAATCAAACGACATATTGCATTAGGCAAATCTGCTGCATAAGACATTTTTAAAGTGTTGAAGAGCAAAGTTTTCACCTTGAGGACTAAGGTGCTACTGACGTAAGCCACGGTATTTTCAATAACCTCATATGCATGCAAAAGCTAGACAGTGAATAAGGGAGACCGTAGAATAATTGATGTTTTTGAGTTATGGAGTCAGAGGAGAATGTTGAAAGTGCCATGGGCTGCCAAAGAACAAACCAATCTGTGTTGGAAGAAGTGCAGCCAGAGTGCTCCTTGGAGGCCAGGAGGGCCAAACTTCCTCTCTCATACTTCAAACATATTGTCAGGAGGGACCAGTCACTGGAGAAGGATATCATGTTTGGTAAGGTGGAGGGTCAAAAAAGAAGAGGAAGGTCCCCAGAGAGATGGATTGGCAAAGTTGCAGCATCAATAGGCTCAAGCCCGGCAACAATTGTGAGGTTGGCCCAGGACTGGGAAGTGTTTCATTCTGTTGTACATATGATCACTATGAGTCCATACCAACTTGATGGCACCTTAACAACAACAACTACACTACATGAATGGGAATGGACTGAGGGAAAGCATGTGCAAGACTGGTCTTGCTACCAGCAATCTGAACTAGCACAGCAGCTGAATCTGATGCCTCTTCAGGGGGAAACGTTTGTGTAAGAGTAAATGATAAATGGAAGGAAAGATAAATAATAGCTCTAGGTAAAGGTATGAATAAATGTATTATTCAGCAGGGAAAAATCCAATATTATACTGATACATTAATAGAGATTCAGAGCAAGGAATAATCTTCTCTCACTAAACTTTCTTTCAGCATTAAGAAGGATGAAAATGAGTCAAACTTTGTGAGAACCTTACCAGGTCAGATGGACGCAAGCAGCAGGCCTGAATGGCTGGTATGTGAATAACGGTACCCTTTGAGCTCTTTATTAAAGTGAAGAGCTAATTGTTAATAACTGGTTTGGACTGGTAAATTATTGAGAGAGGGAGTTAATCACTCAACTATGAAAAAGCAATTGGCTAGAAGAGTCAGGGTGTGGCCTGCAGTGCAGCTAATTGATAATTATGGCCCTCTAGCCAAATTTCCCACATTTTATCATCTATTGAAAATTCTAGCCTCTATGCCTGTGGCTATGGACCCATTTTGTAATGAGTTTCTAAGGAGTAAAGAGTAAGGTGCAGCTAAGGACTAACATTGCAGCTAAGGATTCCTGGTATGGAGCTGTGAGCTAAAAAGCTGAATTCTAGGTTGTTTGAACCATGAGGTTGGTGGTTCAGGCTCACCAGCCACTCCTGGGAAACCCTATAGAGAGCCACTATAGGTTCGAAATGACTTAACGTCACTTAACAACAAAAATAACAAGGAGTCGTGGTGTGGTGCTGTGGGATCAGCAGTTCAAATTCACCAGCTACTCCTTAGGATTCCTATACAGGGTTGCTATGAGTTGGAACTGACTCAATGGCACTTAACAACAACAAGGAATAGAGATTATATTGGATCTAAATATTAAGATGTGGAATAAAGAATATTATTGTTGATGTCTGATGGATCTTGGCTGAAAACTGAGAATATCAGAAAGATGTACACCTGTGCTTTATTGATTA